TGTTGTTATTGTTGTTAGGTGTCATCAAGTTACCTATACACAACAGGATGAAACACTGTTGGGTCCTGCTACATCCTCACAATTGATGCTATGTTTGAGCCCACTGTTGCTGCAACTGTGTCAATTCATCTTTCTCACTGACTCTTCACTTTACCAAGCATGATGCCCTTCTCCAGGGGCTGATCCCTCCTGATATGCCCAAAGAATGAAAGAGGAAGTCTCCCCATACTCACTTCTAAGAAATACTCGGGCTGTAATTTTTCCAAGACAGATTTGTTTGTTCATCTGGCAGTCCAGGGAACTTTCAACATTCTTTGCCTACACCATAATCAAAATGCTTCGATTCTTCTATGTTCTTGCTTATTCAGTGTCCAAATTTCACATGCATATATGGCAACTGAAAATACCGTGAGTTGAGTCAGGTGCACCTTAGGCCTCAAACTGACACTTTTGCTCTTGAACACTTTAAAGGGGTCTTTTGCAGTAGATTTACCTAGTGCAATACGTAGTTTGATTTCTTGACTGCTGCTTCCATGAGTGTTGATTGTGGATCCAAGCAAAATGAAGTCTTTGACAATTTCAGTCTTTTCGCCGTTTATCATGTTGCTAATTATTGCCCTGGTGTGACCCTGTGGGCTAATGTGTCAAACTGCAAAGTTGTTTGAACTGCAAGGTTGGTGGTTCAGGCTCACCAGCTGCTCCTTGGAAACGCTATACAGGGTCGCTATGGGTCAGAATTGACTCAACAGCACTTAACAACAACTTATTGACTCAGTTGTGAAGATTTTTGTTTTCTTTATATTGTGGTGCAATCCATATTGAAGGCTGTGGTGTTTGGTATTTATAAGTAAGTAAGTATTTTAAATCCTCTTTGCTTTTAGCTGCTATCATGTGCCATCGAGTTGGTTCTGACTCATAGTGACCCTGTCTAGGGTTTCTGAGAAGCGGCTGGTGAGCTTAAACCACCGATCTTGCAGTGCAAACCAACCAAGGCAGCGCAGAGCATTAACGCACAGCCACATCAGGACTCCCTTGATGTATGTACAGATTCCTAATGAACACACGCATTCTGGAATTTCCATTCTTTGCAATGTTAACCATACTTTCCTATGATCCACACAGTTGAATGCCATTGTGTAGGCAATAAAGCAGAAATAAACAAGCAAACCTTCTCTCTCTCCCTTATTCACATCTTACAGCACCTGGCATGTGACCTTGTACCTTAAAATAGATTTATTTTAAGTCTGTCTCTCCTCCCTATCCTCAGGCCGCCCCTGATCATTTTGACAATAGGCCTGGGGCTGCTTATCCTTGTGCACACAACCTCATCAATCCTCAGTATGGCCTGAATGCCTAGCATTCAATTGTTGCCAAGTGCCTCAGTTTCGACTCCAAGTGACCCTGTATAGAGTTTTCTAGGAATGGCTGGTGAGTTTGAACTGGTTCAAACCGACCTTGAGGTCCAGTGCTTATCCTAATAGCATTTGTTTTTTGTTAAGTGCCGAGTAGGTACGGTACTGACTCATAGGGACCCTATGCACAACAGAACGAAACACTGCCAGATCCTGGGCCAACCTCACAGTGATTGCTTTTTGAGCCCATTGATCCCATTAAATTTAAAAATTAAAATTCTATTATATAGCATTTAATAGAAGGATGAAAATTGTCCTAAATCCACACTGTCGACATTCTGTAAAAGCCTTGAAGTTTTAACTAATCCCCTGAGGAGCAGCCACCTAGGCTGTTAATGTCCCTAGACAAAGCACTGCTTCGTCTAGGGCAATTGTTACAGGTGGCTACAGGAGGTGTGGAGGGAGGGAGACTTCCAGGCGCGCACGGGACTCCAGTGGGAGGAGGGCCAGAGAGTCACATGATTCTTCAATCACATGATCCCAAGGAATGGGGAGGAGAGGAAAGAGAGGAAAGGGGAGTTGGTTTGGAAAGAAACACAGTATTCTCTACAGGCCCCGCCTTCACATCGACAAGTAACCAGTGAGGGAGAGGCATCCCGGCCCATGGCCAATGGACACTGAGGTGGGCGGGCCTTCGGGCTTGATAGCTTCTAGTCGGTGAATTGACCGACTGCTGCTTCCAGGCTTCCAGGGAGTGCGGACCTAGAAGCAGGTAAGACCATGCAATCCTTGCGCCTGTTCTTTCCCAGGGATCTTACTAGAAACGAGTGAGCTTGAGGTTTTCTTGGAGTCTCAGCTGGGAGGCAAGAGGAGATTCACGTCCAGAAACTCCTTTGAGTGTTTCTGATGCACTGGAAGGAATTTAAAGCGAGAATAAGCAGTAACGCTAGGAGCTCTGGTAGCGTAGTGGTTACGAATCGGGCTGCTAACCTCAGGGTCAGCTGTTCCGCGGAAGAAAGATGAGGCTTTCTGCTCCCGGAGAGATGTACAGCCTCGGAAACCCTGTACAGGGTCACCGTGAGTCAGAACCGACTCCACCGCACATAACCACCACCACCACCAAGCAGTCACGCTAGTGACTGCATTCGAACGGGGCTCTCTCCGCGCCAGGGTCTTCGGAAGCTGAATCCCTTCTCCTAAAGCAAGATCCACCCCATTCTGGAGGCAGCCTCGCCTCTGTTGACAGGAGCCGGCTCCTTCTTCTTCTGGTGGTGATGTTGGGGCGAGCGAGGGCAGTGATGGTCCCTGGGCTGCTGGGAATGGTAGAGTCGTCCCCCTCTGGTCCGGTGCTCAGAGGGGCAGGGAGCGAGCATTAAGACTTGGCTACCTCAAAGGTAGTAGAGACTTGGGAGTGTGACCGATCCCTTGGGTCGTGTCCGGCCCTTCCTTATTTCCTCTTGTCGGCTGGGATGAGCTAGCTTCCGCCTTTTCCAGCCACTTTTTCCTTCTCAGTTGCTCACCTTTGGGGACTCTCTCTCTTGGTCACTTGGAGTTGGGGGTTGCCCCCTAGTGGAAGACGACGGAGCTGTGGGCTTTCTGCTGTAGAAGTGTAGGCTGGGGCTGAGAGACACCTGCTCAGAATCCTACTGAGGAGCAGGCAGCCAGAGAGGAACTGGGTTCCTCCGCCTCCTCGTGAGGTCAGCACCTATGTATTCCGCGGAAGCTCGGGCACTATGTACTCCCTAACCTCAGGATGGAGCCCAGGTGTGATGCTATAGGATAAGCACTGGACTGCTAACCACAGGGTCCGCGGTTCAGACCCACCAGCCACTCCTTAGAAACTCCATACAGGGTCGCTATGAGTCGGAACCGACTCAGTGGCACTTAACAACCACCACCGTCTCAGGATACACAGGTAGGAAAAGGCACAAAAATCACGGGGGCCAGACCAGTCATGACTGTGTGCAGACAGGCCCCGTTTCTGACATCTGTCAGCCAGGGCGGCTAGAAAGGCTTTGAGAGGAGAGGAGTGAGGACACGCACTCACTGAGCGGGTGCAGCAACTAGAGATGGAGGAGGGGGAGAGAGGTACCAGCCTTCCGCCAAATCTGGCCCAGAAATGGCCTTAAAGGGTAGGGCTGTTGGAGGGAGGGAGCCCCTGAGGAAGTGGCCGAGTGGAATTTTCTGACCCATTCAACTTTTTGTCTCACAATCCGGGTGACAGTTCTAGGACTAGGACCCAGCTCAGTTAATTTGTTTTTTCCCCCTGCCCTGTCCACCTACTCAGGAAATGTCTCTGTTCCCCTCCCTCTGCTTGGGTCCAGCTCCCTGTCTGGGGCTATGTGGGATGGGATGGGGGGTGTCCATTCCTGGGCTTTGCCCAGGGTGCCACTTAAAACCTAAACTCAGGTCCAGTAAACTTTGGAGCCATCAAAGCCTGTCATCGCCATGACATGATGTATGACGGAGGCAAGCTACTCAAATCTCATAGCCTCAGTTTCCTCCTTTGAAAACTCAAGATAATAATATTTACTTGGGGTGGTTGGTCCAAAGAGAAAATAAGATAGAATGAATGTTGTAATTGGCTCCCAAGGGGCTCAACCTCCCAAACACCTGCCAAGCCTACCCCTGTTGCTAATTCTGCCTGCTGAGGTTGAAGACAGAGTTTAGGAAGTGAGAGGCTTCGTTCCTCTTACTGACTCATATAGGCAGATAGAGGGCTGGGAGGCCCTTGTGGGTCCCATGTGGTCTTGATCTTTGAGTGTGGTTTAATTTCGCCTCTCAGGGAAAGGGAAAGGTGGGGCAGGGAATTTGCATGTTTGGGGAGTCTGAAAGAGCCCCCGTGATGTTGGGGGCCTCAAAGTACATGTGTTTCCAGCCTTGGTCTCCCTTCATGGGGGTAAAGAGCAGTCAGCTGGCCTCTGAGGAAGAGAGCCCTGAGGCTACTGTCTACCAACTTCCCTTTTCACAACTTTCTCAGACCCATGGTTTCTCATGTTATGAGAACCACCCCCCTAAACCGAAGCAGGACATACATATGCGCATACCACCAGGAAGGGGCTTGTTAGGAGGGGGAGCCTGGATGCCCATCCCACGTCCCTAGTGGCCCATGTTCTCACAGATGAGCCCCACAAAACCCACAACTCCTCTCGACAGTCACATGCATGCACCTCTACCCAGTCACTAACATTGTCACTCATGTTAACATTCACGATCATGGGGATATGCACCCTGGTGCGTGTGACTCACGCACACAGGAGACATGCAGACACGGAATCTCAGGCCCCGCAGCTTGCTTTCTAATCAGACAGGGAGTGCGGACCTTGGAGGTGCCATGGTTAAAGTGCTTCACTGCTAACCAAAGGTCAGCAGTTTAAACCCACCAGCTGCTCCATGGGACAAAGGATGTGGCTGTCTGCTTCTGTAAAGATTTCTAGCTTTGGAAACCCCCTGGGGCAGTTCTCCTCTGTCCTATAGGGTGGCTATGAATTGAATAGACTCTTGGGTAGTGGGTTTGGCTTTTGGACAGGGAGTTGTTGGGGAGTCTCAGGTAGGCCTCCTAGGCTTGGTTGAGTGGTTTCAGAATCCAGGATGGCTGGCATGGGCTCAAGGTGTTACAAATGCTCGTTGATATTTTGCAGGCAGACCATGTGGACCCTGGTGAGCTGGGTGGCCTTGATGGCAGCACTGGTGGCTGGAAGACAATGTCCAGATGGTCAGTTCTGCTCTGAGGACTGCTGCCTGGATCCAGGAGGAGACAGCTACAGCTGCTGCAACCCCATTCTGGTGAACACCCCTTAGCCCAGGCAGGAGCTGGGAGCCTAGGTTTCCTAGTGGCCTCCTTGGATTGGCCTGAGGAGGAGGTTAGACCTGGCCACTCTGGTTTATCCTCATCCGTCTCTCTCCAGGACAAATGGCCCTCTTTGCCCACAGCATGGAGCAGGCTTCTGGGCACACCCTGCCAGACTGATGCCCACTGCTCTGCTGGCTCCTCCTGCCTGCTCACTGTCTCTGGAACCTCTCGCTGCTGTCCGTTCCCAGAGGTGAGAATGCTGCTAGCTCAGTGAGCAGGCCAAGGCCTGCATGTTCACTATCCTATCCTCTCCTGGCCCAGACCTTGTGACACAGGTTTCTCTGTCCAACAGGCCATATCTTGTGGGGATGGACACCATTGCTGCCCCCGGGGCTTCCACTGCAGTGCTGATGGGCGGTCCTGCTTCCGCAGACAAGGTGCAGTGGGGCTGGGGGTACATGGAGCTGACAGGAGCCCTTCCACCCGAGTGACACCTGATTCCTCTGTATGGCATGTGTACTGAGCAACCCTGATCTGGACACAGTGCAGCACTGGGGCCAGGAGGGAACCCGGGACTCCAGGCCCCTGGCCCAGACCTTGGTAGAGGCCAAGCAGTCAGTACTGAACAGCACAAGATTGCCAGTGGAGGCCCTTACCCCATGCCATCTTGCTGGGGCAAGGACTGACTTGGGGAGGCAGCGGGTTAGAGGGGCTGGGAGGTCATTGTGCCTCAGTACCCTGGCAAGCTGGTTTGCAGCCTTGATGCCACTAGTTCTTTGATATTTTGGGGATAACGATTTTGTTGTCCACAGATGCCAACCCATTGGGTGCTGTCTTGTGCCCTGATAGCCAGTTTGAATGCCCAGACTCCACCACATGCTGCATTATGCTTGATGGCTCCTGGGGCTGTTGCCCCATGCCCCAGGTAGGGCTTTAGGGAGAGGGGGTGGGGCATGGGGCAGAGCAAGGGACTGGAGGGGGCGGGGCAAAGACAAGTCAAGACCTTCTCTTCCCAGGCTACTTGCTGTGAAGACAAGATGCATTGCTGTCCTCATGGAGCGTCCTGTGACCTGGCTCAGGCCCAGTGCCTCTCGCCCACAGGCACCCATCCCCTGGCCAAGAAGACCCCTGCACAAAGGACTAATAGGACAGGTCAGGGAGTAGGCAAGGAGCCCTGGGGATGCACTGTCTAAGTCCTCAACTGCTAACTGAGAGGTTGGTGGTTTAAACCCACCAGCCACTCCTTGGGAGAAAGATGTGGCAGTCTGCTTCTGTAAAGATTACAACCCTAGAAAGCACTATGGGTCAGTTTCTCTCTGTCCTGTGGGGCAGCTCTAGGGACCGAGTCAGAATGGACTGGATGACAACGAGCAAGAGGGTGGGAGAGCATTGGGTTAGGGGTGAGGAGAGGCCTCACTGGCATCCCGCTGGAAAGAGCTTTCTCTTCTGCTGCTTCTCATCATCTTCCTCCTTCTAGTGACTCTGCCCAGTGCTGTCATGTGCCCCGATGCACGGTCCCAGTGCCCAGACGACTCGACCTGCTGTAAGCTGCCAAGTGGGAATTATGGCTGCTGTCCAATGCCCAATGTGAGTGAGGGGCACAGCCACCTGGCCTTGTGGAGACTTCAGGGTGTGGGGCCTACTGACTCAGAACTCATGCCACCCCTGGTGGGGGATTGGAGTAGTGCTAGCTGCCAGCATGGCTCTTCCTGGGACATAGTTAAGAATAGCTGTCCAAAGACCCACGCTGTTCCCACCTAGGCCGTCTGCTGCTCCGACCACGTGCACTGCTGCCCCCAGGATACTGTGTGTGACCTGATCCAGAATAAATGCCTGTCCAAGGACAGCGCCTCTGACCTCCTCACCAAGCTACCTGCGCACACAGGTACAGAGGCCGGAGCTCCACCAAGCTGTCCTGGGAACAGATGTGGGCTGGGGTGCTCATGGTGTGGAGGGGGGTCTGAGGTGGAAATGGTGTCCTCAGCTTATCAAAGCGAGGGAAGGATTGGCCCTCGGCTGGTCCACAGTGCCGTGCCGACCTATCCTCCCTGCTCGCCTCACAGTGCAGGATGTGAAATGTGACGATGAAGTGAGCTGTCCCGATGGCTACACCTGCTGTCGCCTCACCACAGGAAACTGGGGCTGCTGCCCTTTTGCCCAGGTACCCAGGGGTGCGGGATGGCCTGAGCAAAGGGTTGCAGCCAGCTAGGCTCCTGTGCCAAATGGCCCCCCCCTTCCACCCTAGGCTGTATGCTGTGAGGACCATGTACACTGCTGCCCAGCGGGCTTTAAATGTGACAAAGAGAAGGAGATATGTGATCAGAGGAACCACCAGGTGCCCTGGAGGAAGAAGACCCCTGCCCACCTCAGTCTACCAGCCCCTCAAGCCGTGGAGAGTGATGTGCCCTGCGATGACGTCACCAGCTGTCCATCTTTCAATACCTGCTGCAGACTTCCGTCGGGGGAGTGGGGCTGCTGCCCTATCCCAGAGGTGCAAGGGTAGAGGGGGCCCCAGTGTGGTGTGCCAGCTCTGTCAGAGTCCTCTCCAGCTGGAGGAACAGGGCAGTGTGAGAAACTAGGCACCCCGCTCCACCTAGCAGCACCTGAGACCACTCTCCTGTGCTCATCCTCTGTCCAGGCTGTTTGCTGCTCAGACCACCAGCACTGCTGCCCCCACGGCTTCACATGCACAGATGAGGGCCAATGTCAAAATGGGGATAAGACAGTGGCTGCATTGAAGAGGACGCCTGCTCGCCGGGCCTCCGTGTCCCACCTCAGAGATACCAGTTGTGACCAGCACACCAGCTGCCCTGTGGGGCAGACCTGCTGCCCCAGTCTGAGCAAGGGCTGGGCCTGTTGCCAGTTGCCTCACGTGAGTACCCACCTGTCTGCCCACGGGTAGGGAGCTCAGTCCTGGTGGGGTGGAGTGTAGGAGAGGACATTTTTGCTACTGTGACCCCACCCATGCACCTACCCACCCACCCAGGCTGTGTGCTGTGAGGATCGCCAGCACTGCTGCCCAAATGGGTACACCTGCAACGTGAAGGCCCGCACCTGTGAGAAGGCAATAGACTCTGCCCAGGTTGCCACCCGCCTGGTCCACGGTCCACACGTGGGGGACGTGGCATGTGGGGAGAGCCGCTTTTGTCATGATAACCAGACCTGCTGCCGAGACAGCCATGAAGGCTGGGCCTGCTGTCCCTACCGGCAGGTTTGTGCCACCTCCACCTTGGGGCTGGTTGAGGGCCTGGGCCAGGCTCTACTATGTCTGACTCTCATAACCCTTTCTGACCATCCAGGGCACCTGTTGTGCAGATCAACGGCACTGCTGTCCTGCTGGCTTCTACTGTGGGAGAAAGGGCGCCAAGTGTTGGCGCAGGGAGGTCCTGCCTTGGGACATCCCTGTGAGGGGACCAGCCCAGAGACAGCTGCTATGAGGAGAGACCAAGGACTGAAGGCACTTCATAGCCCTGAGGATCCTGCTTAGACAGTGTCCATTGCTCAGGCCTCCCAGAACCTCTCTCCCACCAAATTCTCCCTCTTCACCATAGGAGGTGGGGCTCAACCTAAGGCCTTCCCACCGGAAAGGGGGAACTTGTGGTACAAGCCATGATTAAAACTGCCGTCCTCCCCCAATTTCTGTGGACCCTGTGGCCAAGTGCTTGCCCTATCCACAGGTGGCGTGTGTATGTGTGTGTGCGCGCGTGTGCGTCCTTCAATAAAGTTTGTACACTTTATCAGTATCTCATTGGGCCACGTCTTCCTTCCCCAACTATCCCTCATCCAGGGCCAACCTCCACCTCCACCACCACCACCAGAGAAAGAGAAACAGTTAATCTCACCAGTTTTATATTTGCTGTTGCCCACCACGCCCTATCACATTACCCCTAGTCCCCAGAGCTGCCCCTGCCACCAGCCCTGTGACATTGCAGCCCAGGGATGGGCTAGTCAAACAAGCAGAACCCCCTCCCCTCCCAGGGGTCTACAGGGAATGCTCCCTCCCTTCCCAGCCCTCACACTAGCAGCTGGGGCGGGGTTGCCCCTCCTGCTTTCCCACATAGAGCTTTCTATGTACAGCCACATCTATACACGCTCCCCCCTCCCCCAGCCCTCCTCCCAGCACCTCCCAATGGGGGCCTGGGCCCCTCCCACCTCCCTCGGCCTGGAGGCCCATATAGGGTTTCCCCAGACATTACCCAGCACATACCACTGGACAGCTCCCCAAAGACCCCTGGGCACCTTTCCAGGGACGGGACTGGGGCCAATAACACCCCCCAACACATACAACACACAGGGTCCCGCACCCTGGGGTCAGGCCGGAAGCAGCATCAGGAGTTACCCCTATTTGACGTTGAACACCATAAGTGGACGCTCCTCCCGCCGCTGCCATGGGCTCTTCTTGTCACCGGCCTCATCGCCCACCTCTGCCCCCAGCTCATCCTCAGGGCTGGTGAGAGAGTCGCGCCGCAATTCGCTGGCGCTGCTGCGGGAACTGTCACCGCGGCTGCGGCCCCGCCCACGGGGCACGGTGGCCGCCCGGCCCTCGGGAGCCACCACCTCGTCCAGCAGCGGCGTCAGCGAGTTGTCCTCTGGAGAGCAGAGGCCCGTGCGGCTCTCGCTGCTGCTGGGCTCGGTGTCCTCGCTGAGTGCCAGGCGCGGAGGCGCGGGCGGTGGCGGCGGGGCGGCCGGTGGGGCGCGTTCCTCCCGCAGAGGCCTCCGGCGTGCAGGTCGTGCCTCGTGCACGTCGACGCCCGAGTCCAGGCTGGCATCCGTGCTGCGGCCCCCTCCGCCCGCCTGCAGGTCGATGTAGGAGTGGCGCACCTGCGAGTTGGAGCGCCCATCGAGAGACACAAACCATGCGCGCGGGTGCGGCTTCACGCCGAGTTCAAGCAGCTTCTTCTCGGTCAGCGCCTGAAGCTCCCCGTTGAGCTGCGCCATGGTGGACTCGTTGAAAAGCACAGGAATCGTGACTGAGCCGCTAACAGGCGCCGAGCGCCCGCTCCCCCAGCCCTCGCCGCCCCCCATGCCACCCTCGCACCCCGCGCCTGAGTGGCCCTGCATCAGCGGGCGCTGGGGGTCGGGCTGCGGGAAAGAGCGCGCTGGGCCGGGAGGCGGGCCCTCGAGCGTGGTGGGCTCCTCTCCAGTTCCTGCAGCGCCCGCCTCACCGCCAAGGCGCACGTAGTGTGCGGGGATCACCAGGGTGGGCATGACGTTGCGATAGACACTGTCCTTGAGGTGGTCGATGGAGCCACAGAAGATGAGCTGCCCTGCTTGGCTGAGTGATGGCGGTCGCGCCAGCTGGTCCACCGACTGGGACAGTAGAAAGTCGGGGGTCTTGCTCTCGGCCGCCCCCTTGTGGCTAAGGTAGTGGTCGAAGGATGGCGGCGGCGAGGGCGGTTCGTGCAGAAAGGCTGCAGCTCCGGACTGCCCCCGCCGGTATTCCTCCAATCCCGGTTCCAGCCCACTTGGGCCCTCCAGAGATCGGGCACCTTTCAGCCCGGCGCCCTCGCCTCCGCGGGCACCCGGAGGCTCGGCGGCCGGTCGGCTGGTGGGGCGTGGCTTAGCGCGGAAGAAATCGTCCCGGGAGGAGGCCAAATCTCGGGAGCTGGAAAAAGCCGAGTGGAGTGGACCTGGCGGTGGAGCCTCAGGGTCTCCTGATGAGGCGGGTTCCAGAGGCCCCCCACAGATGAGGTGGAGCTGGGACATGGAAGTGGCCTGGTCTCGTTTGTTACCGTCAGAAGGTCCGGTAAGCTGCAGCTTGCGATGCTGTTGCCTTGGCTTCAAGCAGCGCCTCCTGGAGAGGAAACGGCAGACAGAAACCCTCAAGAAAGGGGCATTTCCCTAGTCCGGAACTTGAAAGGAGAGGAATGAATATGGAGATGTCATTAAGAGCTCAGACCAGAACTGGAAGTGGTTTGCAGAGGCCCAGCCAGTGGCTGTGCTCATTTGGGTCCCCTATGAGCCAGGTCGCAGGAGAAGAATATCATGCTTGGTAAGGTGGAGGGTCAGAGAAAAAGAGGAAGATCCCCAGCAAGATGGATTGGCAAAGTGGCAGCATCAATGGACTCAAGCGTGGCAATGATAGTGAGGTTGGCCCAGGACTGGGCAGTGTTTCCTTCTGTTGTGCATAGGGTCGCTATGAGTCGGTACCGACTTGATGGCTCCTAACAACAACAACAACAGCAATGAGCCCTGGAGTCCTGGTGTGGCGCTGTGGGATAAAGCATTGGACCGCAGAGTCGATTTGAACCACAAGGCCAGCGGTTCAAACTCACCGGCCGCTCCATGGAAACCCTATGCAAGATTGCCATGAGTCAGAACCAACTACACGGCACTCAACAATAAGTAGGAGCCCTGGGGGAGTCCTAATGTGGCGCTGTAAGGTAAGCACTGGACTGCTAACCGAAAACCAAACCCACCAGCTGCTCCTCGGAAACCATAGGTTCGCTGTAAGTTAGAACCGATCAGTGGGCACTTAGCTATAACAACAAAATGGATATCTGGTGGTTCAGTGGTTAAGCACTGAGCTGCCAACCAAAATGTGGGCGATTGGAACTCACCCGCTGCTTTGTGAGAAAAAACCCTGGCAATCTGCTCCTGTAAAAATATATTGCCTAGAATATGCTCTATAGGGGCATTTCCACTTTATCATATAGGGGCACTATGAGTCGGAGGCAACTCCATGGCACATAATGGGTAAATGACATTCCTTCACTCATAGGAAGCTTGGTGAGACCCAGAAAAGAACTTGTAAATCAACTAACTGGGGGGTTGTGTCTGGCACAGGGGTCTCTGGGAGTTAGAGCTGGGCTGGTAGGAGCAGCGACAGTTGTCTCATGGGGGACTTGTCGGCAGGTTCTGCCTCCCTGGCCCCTTCTCTCTCAATCCACCAGAGCTTTTCAGGGCTTTGTACTTGTGGTTCATGTAAAAGCTGTAAGACTCTTACTAGTCAAGAGTTCTGGAGGGGAGGTGGGCAGAGGGCAGGCCTCAGACTGAGCCCTGGATGAGGAGGTGGGCAGAGGGCAGACCTCAGGCAGAGCCCTAGGTGAGGGGGTGCAGAGGCAGGCCTCAGGCAGAGCCCTAGATGGGAGTGGGGGACAGAGGGCAGGCCTTGGGCAGCTGGGGCCCAGGAGCCCGCATACTCACCGGCAGTAGTAGATAAGTAGACACAGCAGAATGAGCACCAGCAAGGCCAGAGCTGCCAGAATGGTGAGCAGGAAGATGGTGTGGTAGGTGCCAATGTCCTGGATGCCTGACGTGATGGTGACCAGCCCTGTGGCAGGTAAGGGCTTAGTGCTCCAGGTATAGACACCCTTCTGCCTTTCAGAAGGAGTCCACTCTCCCAGCCTTTCCTTCCCACCTGCTGCCCACCACCCCACCCCTGCTATCCCTACTCTCACCAGTCATGGGGGAAGCTATAGCAGCTGCCCAGTACCCCAGCTGGGAGGAGACGAAGGTCCAGTAGAGCTGCCGGCCTTCTTTCCGGATCACACCGGTGCCATTTCGTACCCACAGCCCTGGGAGGGGGGGAGGAGGGGTCATCAAACTCAATGTCTACCCATGTAAGGCCCACTTCCCCAAATTCTAGCACCTGGAACCCTTGAAACACTCACCACTTCTAGGGTCGAACCTCCAGGCTGGAATGCTGGTGCCTACAGCAAGGGCACGAGGCTCTGAGGGCACGGGCAGGGACAGATGAATGGGGACCGAGAGTGGCACCTCAGTCCCATTGCCTGTCAGCAAGTGCACGCTCACGGCAGCCAAGGGCATCAGCTCCAGCCAGGAGCCATTGCCTGGGGCAGGGGACACAAGAACTGAGGGCTAAGTTCTTGGAGGGGGCCCTCTGCCCTGCCCAGCACCTATCATACCTGAGCTGGAGGCCTCAGTGCCCAGGAAGGCAGGGAAAGCCCGCATTTCCTGTTGGGTGCTGGCAGGTGTGAGCGAGGCCCAGAGCTGGCTGTAGGTAGAACTGACAGGCAGGCAGGCTGGCCGGCACTGGAACTGTACCCAGGGCTGGGAGCGGGCACCTAGACAGAAAGAGGGACTGCACTGATCTGGCTAGGGGCAAGGTTCCCCAGGGACCAGCGCAGGAAGCAAATATCTATACAGAAAGGGAGCCATTGGGTCAGGCCATTTGGGAAGTCAAAGGAGGGTAGCATTTTGGAGAGAGAACTGGGCAATCATAGAACGTTAACCTAGAAGGAACCTGAAATCCAGTCCTGGCTGTGACTCTGAGCAACTTACTTGCCGTTTTAGAAACACTATTTCTTTATAAACCTATAAAACAATGAGGTTCTGGTCTCGATTATTGTTGTCATGGTAGGCATTGTGTTAGGTGCCGGGGGTATCAAAATGAATAAGACACAATTCCCTGCCTTCAAGTTCACAGTTGAGTGAATGCTGTCTACTACAGTATTCACTGGGGAGCGCAGTGGCGCTGTGGGATAACCACAAAATTAGCAGTTCAAGCCTACCAGCTGCTCCTCAGGAGAAAAGAGGAGACTTTCTGCTTCTGCAAAGATTTACAGCCTTGGAAACCCTATAGAGAGTAACTGTGAGTTCGAACCACTTAATAACAACAAAACAGTACTCACTAGGGCTTTCTTTAGTGATGAAAATGTTCTAGATCTGTGCTCGCCATTAGGATACCCACTAGACATATGTGGCTATGAAGGACCTGAAATGTGGCTAGTATGGCTAAGGAACTGAATTTCTAATTAACTTAAACTACTTGTATTTAAGGAGCTCTGGTAGCGTAGTGGTTACGAATCGGGCTGCGAACCTTAAGGTCAGCGGTTCGAAACTACCAGCCGCTCCGCGGGAGAAAGATGAGGCTTTCTACTCCTGTAAGGATTTACACCCTCGGAAACCCTGTACAGGGTCGCTATGGGTCGGAACCGACTCGACGGCACTTAACAACAACAACTTGTATTTAAATAGCCACATGCATTTAAACAACTTAGGTCTAGATTGTGTGTGTATATGTGTGTGTTAGGGGCAGGGGCAGAGGCAGACATATAAATAAAATTCCAATAGAATTTGATAATAAAAGCTAACATTTATTAAGTCTTATGATATGTTTGACACTGTTCTAAGCAGGTTATCTATATTAACCCCTTTAATCAGCCCAGCAACCACGGAGTCAAGTGGCTTTATTCTTAACCCCATTTTATAGACAGAAATTGAAGCAGAAGTTGAGTAACCTACCCAAGGTTACAAGCTTAAGGTCACAATTGTCAACCCAAGATTGAAGCCCAAGCAATCAGGCACCATAGCCCATTCCATCCTGCTTGCTATTAAGATGGAGGGGGTGCAAGGTGCAAGGGATGCTTGGTTCATGCAGCTCAAAAACGGACTTGTGGAGCTTTGAAGGATGAGACTCAGGCAGGAAAGAAAGCAAGCCTGGGAGAACCCCAGCAGGACTGGCCAGAGACATGACGAGGAGGTAGCGGGGAGGTGTTCAGGGACCTGCAAACAACAAGTAGGTGGGGGCTATGGACAGTGGCAGGCCCAGAGGGCGTTATCTGCTTTGTGAAGAAAGCTGGGCTCTACACTGAATGCCGTGGGAGCCATGGAGGGCTTATGTTTGGTGGTAACAAAATAGTTTAGTATTTTAGAAAGCTTCAAAGGCATTTTAGAAATCAGAGAGATGAAGGTGAGCAAACAAGTGGATATATATTTGGGAGGGAGTTCTTCCCACTCAAAATTCCACTGTGGCTCTCTAGCGGATAGGACAGTCTGCCCTCTGTCCTGTCTTCTCATCCAACCGACAGCAGGTGCTCTGGCTGCAGAGTCAGGCTGGAGCATTCCTGCACCCCCACTCTTCCCAGCCCCTTCACTGTCCTTCTACTTCTGCACTGTGATGAATCCCCCAGACCTTCCTCTCCAATGAAGGGGTCTTTGCTCCCTTTCAATTGTCCTACCCACAAAGTCTCACAGCTCTCTCCTCTAAATTCTCCAGCTTACTACACTCGCAGCTGAGGGGCTCTCAGTATTGAATGCATCGCCCTCTGCCCCACTGCCCTGCCTTCTCCATACTGATTTCAGGTTTATGATGATGTGTCTGCCTTCCTAGTTGTGGTGAAATCCACGAGGTAGGGAGGAGGTGTGTTCTCCCTTTCCATTGTTCCCTGGCACCACACACAATGCCTGGCCCAGTGGAGGTGTGGAATTAAGAATTCGCTGAGTGAAACTGAAAGTCCATGGGTGGACAAGGATCACTGCGGGATTGGTCCAGGCCTTGCACTTGGTGGTTGACAGTCACAATTTAAGAAATTACCTTTCATGGCCTTCAACAGCTAGGCACAGTAGATACGCAACTGAAGATAAAGGTGGCAGGGAGTGGGCTTCAAAAGGAGGGAATAAAGGGAGAGCAGAAACCAAAAGAAGCCCCGATAACAATAAACATTAATTGAGCACCTACTGTGCTAAATTCTTTACATGCTGTATGCCGTTGAATACTTACCACTATTAGATGACTAGGCACCATCCTTATCCACATCTTACAGATGAACAGAATATGGCTCAGAGAGGTAAGTGACTTGTCCGAGGTCACCCAGCTAATATGTGGAAGAACAGAGCTCTCTACACCCAGGTCAGAGGAAAGGAACAGGAGTTGGGCTTGGGGGGCAGGGAAGCCTTACCGGGAGAGCCCAGGAGGATGTGCACGAGGTCCTCATAGAGGATGAGGGTGGCTGGCCTCTCAGGGAGCAGGTAGAGGCTGACGGATGCATACACTACAGGAATGGTAGTGCATCAGCTCCAGAAAAGACGCTGCCTCCCCAGCCCAGGCGCTGCTGCTCTGAATCCCAGTGGCTTCATCCTTCCAAAGGCCCTGCTGCCTCCCCAGCCCAGG